AACTCGAAAAGTTTCATTCCATGTGTACTCTTCTACTTGTTGCAGGGAGGAGGGATCTGAAGTGGCATGGCCTGAATATAAGGAGCCGGGCAGGAAAAAGGAGCAATCGACGTAGCATGTGGGTTGGGAATTTTCTACACTTGCAATCAAAGTTTGTTCACCTGTAGATCCATAAGTCATGTGGCAAAGTATCATAGGGTGTGTTCGCTAAGCTGGAACTGTTAGTTTGCGTCGTCTGAGTTTGGAAGAAACAGCTGAGGGGTGCTCGGGTGGCGCTTCTACCTAGGTGGGGTGGGTGCGCCGCGCTTCTACCTAGGTGGGGTGGGTGCGCCGACACGGACGTGCCTAGAGCGTGTCAGGGAAGTGCCCTTCTCTGGCTGGGCAACAAGGTTGTGTCTTGAAGATGTGTCCCTATCTGGATGGGCGACACGACGGTGTCTGGAGGTTGTGTCCCTGTCTGGATGGGCGACATGATTGTGTCCCAGGGTCGTGTCCATGTCTAGATAGGTGGTAGAGCCGTGTCCTTGACTAGACTAGTGACACGACCATGTCCAGGGGGTGTCATGGTCATATATATCCCCTTATGGATTGGTGACATAACCATGACACAAGGGTGACACGGATGTGTCCTCTAGCGAGCAATTCGGTTGGCTTAGGGTGCTCACAATGGCCTATGGTACGATATCCCGAACATGAGCAGGAACCTGTAGAGATTTACTTGCAGGAAAAGCATTCTCATCAAATCGGATATGGCGTATGATAAAAATCTTTCCAATGTTGAGATCCAAACAACGATACTATGGTAAACATAAAAAACACAAATGGGTAGACCAAAACTCTATTTTATGTTTGTTGTACGGACATAGATGAGGAAAATGCAATCAACTAATGGCACGAAGAAAGGAATAATCAGAATTTTCTTTGTTGATGAGGGCATAGGGCTCATAATTTTTTTAGAGTTACAGAAGGCATACGATTAATGAGGAACACCGCAATATCATAGGCGTAGGCCCAATACCTAGGGGAAATAGAGGTTTGGGCAAGCAAGGGGAGACCGATTTTAACAATGTGCCTATGACATTTTTCTAATTGGCCATTTTATTCATGTGTGTAAAGCACATGATTGACAATGATTTATTTCAAGACTGACAGAGAACTTTTCTAATTTGTTGTATTCTTATCCTAGATCACTTTGAATGACTTTAATTTTACAAGAAAATGTTTGCTCAACCAGTGCTTAAAATCTATATGGAAAATGTTAGATGTCTGTCTTTAGTTTCATGGAAAAGACCCAAATATCACAATAATAATCATCAACAAAAATGACGAAATAATGATGACCTTCTTTAGATAAAATTGAGGATGATCCCTAAATATCTGTGTAAACTAAATCTAATACAGTAGAACTAGACTTTATGACTCTTTCTAGTGGAAATCATGAGGATTTCCCTAATTGACAGGCAGAACAAGGAGAGTTAACAAAACTGAAGGATTTAGATACTAGACAATAACGTAGAATATTGTGTAGGGCTCTTTAGTGATGGTGACTAAGACTATTGTGCCAATCTTCTAAAGATACTTTGGATGTAGTGAATGCAATTTTGTTTTGTATTGGAAGTTTGTATACCCCCCCCCCCCCCCCCCCCCTCCCTTAAGCATAATTTGATTGGCGTTTGAGATCTTTCACAACAAAAAATGAGGGGTGAAACTCAAAGAAAATATTATTATCAATGGTGAAACGATTGACAAATAAGATAGAGTTGGTTAGGGCAGGAACATGTAACTCATTCTGTAACTATAGAACATGTGAAGAAGAGGGATATCAAAGTATGCTCAGTACAAGAAATATTCAAACATTCACCATTACCAACTCAAAAACGTGTCATTTCCTGTGTACTCTTTTACTCATTGAAGGAGGAGGGATCTGGAATGGCATGGTGAGTGGAACTAGTGTTAAGGAACACGTAATACATTCTGTAATTGTAAAACACGTGAAGAAGATGATATCAAAGTATGCTAGTATTAGAAATATTCAAACTTGTAAACTCAAAAAGTGTCATTCCCTTTGTACTCTTTCACTTGTTGCGGGAAGGAGGGATTCGGAGTGGCATGGCCTGGATGTAAGGAGTCAGACAGGAAAAGGAGCCATCAATGTATCCACTAAGATTTTGAACACGAAGAAAGGGAACACGCTGAGTTTTTTAGAACAGATAATTTAAGGAAGCAAGTTTAAGAGAGATAAAGTGATGAGTCGTCTATAGTGTATTTATCAGGGCTGGGGGTGGAGAGGTAATATTGGAGATGGTGTGAGAGGATGAGGAGGTGGTGGCATCGACGACGTTGGCGGTGGGTGGGGGCGCGATGTCGGGACTGGCATCCCTGGCATGGCAGTAGTATTGGTGGCCATGGATCGTATGGTCTGCTGATGATGCCAGATGGGAACGGTATTATTTGCAAAATGTTTTATTATTGATCAATCGTATTCACAAAGTACAAGATGGGACGTATGTATATAAGTACAAGAATTTGTCTTAACTATGGTAAGATTAGTAAATGAGGAGTTACAATAATACACAGAAATGGAAAAGAAATTCTAAAACTGATAAAATACAGAGTCCTAATACAAATAAACTCATCTTTTTTTTAATAATTAGGTAATCCTAGTTTTTGCCGAACTAATCCTAAGCCCACTGGACCCTGTCCCTAGAGCCACTACAGAGATAAATCACAAGTCACGCAATCATCCCACTAGTCAGACCCTAGTCTTCATGCACGCACAAGGAATTCAATCAAAACCTTACAATCTTACATCATCCTGGGCCTTTTTCCCATATTTATATTTCCAATGGTGAGATTTGAACACTCACACTGCCGTCTTTAGTCGTGATATCAAGTCATGCGACGAACCACTACAGAGTCCTTATACAAATAAACTCATTTTTTATCCAACCTTTTAGTGTAACCATTTTAACAAGTTATCTGTAAATATAAAGAATGAAAAAAAAAAACAAGAAAAAAAGTTCTGCAAGGTGCAAAAGAATGCAATGGACTAAGCTCATAGATAAATATAAAAGCTGAAATTTTTTATTCAACTTTTATATTCACAAGTAGTGTGCTAAAATATCCGTCCCATTTTGTTTATCTGGTTCGATAAACGAGACTTGACTGAAGCTATTTTTACTTCAGTTTTTCATAATATTAAATTTATTTTTAATATATAAAATTTATATATTTAGAAACTACATTAAAAGTACTATTAAACATAAAAAATCAAATTTAAAAATAATTAAAAATTACTAAAGAAAATAAGTAATGAAGAAAGAGTTGGATTGACCAATGAATAGTAAACAGGACAGGTAAAATGGGACAGAGGGAGTAATATGGAATAATTAAGAAATAGATATAATTCATTATTTTGATTGTTCAATAATAAAAGGATCGAAATTGAAATATAGGGTGAAATTAATCAAATAAAATTAAAAAAAAAAAATTAATAGGTTATAATAATATGGGGAAATGTTGATATTTTTGTCAAAATAATACTCCACAATAATAAAGGGTTCATAATTATGATTGATATTCATCACTCATCAATCAAGATCCGTTGCCTTTCATTTACTGTTCATTACATTCAGAGAAAAGATTCATAATATTTGTGATTAATAATGATCAAGGCACACACACACAGTTAGGTGTGTCTAAGTTCATACTACATTATTTATGAAAGTCCTAGCTATTTAAAGTTTTGATGATTAACCAAAACGTATGTCGTGATGTGTGATAGGGATATGATTAAAGCATTATAATAGAAATCAGAAGAATGATTAGCATGACTATGACCACACAAGGCCCCAATAATATTCTATCTACTTTCCTTTTTGTTTTATATCTTTTTTCACAATTGAAAAAGAAACAATTTTGTCATGCTTCAAATTTTCAAATTCATTTGGACCTACATCACTATTTTTATTTTTATGAAGTGTGAGAGTTTTTAGAATATCATAATATCATATACAGTTATCACAAATCAACAATGATAATAATAGGTGGACTGAAAAATCATTCAATACAATCAAACAAAAATAACTGTGTTGACTAATTGACTAATATATTGACAGCTCTGATAGAGTAAATGGTTTCGGGTAGAGTAAATATGACCAAGAACTCTATTATAGGTAAAATAATATGGTTGGGAGGTTAAGTAAAGGTCAGCCTACATGAGGTGGGGAAGATTAAATGGAGGTGGTTGGTGTGACCGGGATAGTAATGAAAGACCCGACCAAGTTAGGTCGATCGATAGGTTTCGAGTGGAGCGATGTAGGTTGGGAGCCTAACGTGGAGCGATGTAGGTTGGGAGCCCAAAAGTCCCCATTCTAGGTGCAATAAATGTCCTATATATAGAGGGAAAGAGGGGACACATGCCAAGTGTTTGGCATGTCTTCCACGTGTCCTTGAGTTTTGACACGTGGTGCGACGCTTAGAGACCAGAAGGTCTACTAATCAATGAGACTAGGAGGGCCGCTAATTATGGTCGGTAAGTGCATTGCACTATTGAGGTCGGGAAATGCGCTATTGAGCTCCGTAGATTAAGTGGTTTGCCCTATAACCCTATCAAACTCGATTTGCAAATTGTTTCCAAAAAAAAAAAAAAAAAAAAAAAAAAAAAAAAAAATAACTTTCTTTCAAATCATCAATAATATTACAAAAAAATAGAATTAGTCGGATAACTTCTTTTTTTTGTCTGATAAAAAAAGGACTAAAAGTAGATGTCATCTATAAATTTAAGATAAAAAATTGAATTAACTCATAAGTAAATAAAAATCAATCAATTTATCTCTAATTAATATTAGACTTTTTCTTATAAATAACTGTTCAACCCCTAAATATTACACATCTTTTATATATAACAAAGAATTTATTCACGATTAGTATTACATTTTCCAACATGATTAGTACTACATTTTCTAGCATAAATATTACATTTCCATATTGACCTAATCCAAGAAACTCACTCTTATCACATTAACAATAAGCATTAGTCGAGAACAAATAAAGTGTGTGAATGTTTATTGCATTGGAAGTAAATATGTCATTGTGATATTCATTACTGTTGAAGAAAATGTTCATCACACTTGTAAATAATATACAATTGAATTATAAACAATAATTTGTTCGAAGAGGAAATGGACGTGACCACCATAGAAGACCTTTAAGGAACTCTGGGCTTTGGATTTCTCCAGAATTGGAATTAACAGTGCACCAAATTATTGCAGATATTGTTGTTTTGTCACTATCAAGGCATGAGCACCAATGGAGTCCATGTTTGAGTGGGTATTGTGGGTTATGCATCTCATCTGGATGTGTAGTTATCATTCCTCTTCTTTATTGGCATTATCGTTATAGAAATGACAGTTCTGAACAGGTTTCTCAGAAGCAACAGAATTCTTCCACATTGAGGTGACCTTTCATATCATGTTAACGCCTGTGATGGTAACTTGACATTAGAGAGGCCTTCCAATACGTCCCAAAGTAGACCAAGGTTCAAAACTCGACAGTTGCACTATCAAGATTATGTTCAAAGTGAACAAATCTCTTGTGCGCACTGCGGCACTGACATTTGACTTTGTTTGCTAAGTCACTGAGTTACTGTAATTTACATCATCCTAGATACTTTGTCAAACCGGAGTGGGAGACCCTTGGGGTTGGGGATTCAACCAGTAAACCAACAGTGAAGGAAGAGTACACAAACCAAACCAAACCAAACCATTGATCCTTGACTTTCAGTATAGAGAAGCCTCAAGTCTCCAGGCCAGCTATCCCACCCTCAGAAGTGCCTACAATTCAACAACGAAACCAAATGAATCACAGGTACTAGTACTACTGATAAGGATTCAGAGAGTAGCAATATGTTGCGTTGAGGACTTGTTTAATTGCCATCAAGCCTTTCCAAAGGTAACTGTGGACAACCAGGTACACAAATAATAACTAAAACAAAGTATTTAAGCAGTATAATTGAAATATATATATATATATATATATATATATATATATATATATATATGAAAATAAATTATAGGGTAACACTGCCCATCACTGAAGTCTCACCAAAAAAGAATGATAAATTGCCAGGAGAACAAGAAGAAAGTAGCAGCTCAAAGCAATTAAAAGAATGACAATTTGCCTGAAATTGGAAATAAACCAGTTGTAAATTTTAAATGCTGTTGCAATTAGCATACTGTTGCATAAAGATAAAATATATGGTAAAACTTGCTCATTCAATGATTGAATTATACAAGTCTTCCTTCAAACAGATGGTTATTTCTACAGACAGCAAGTGCTAACTTAGTTCAGCTCAATAATTATTTGAATAACACTTTGATGCTGTCCTAAGGCACCAAGTGGGAAAAAGTCAGAATTTGCTAACAACATATTTTGTTTCACATATTACTTGTGAGGTACAGTTACATATCATTCTGGTTTTCTTTGAATCTGTAAATACAGATACAAAATTTAGGTATGTTCGTAAATTCCTGATGAAGAAAATTACAGAATTTCATAGTCAAGGATGATATGCTAGATTCTAAAATTTCCTCAGTTTCATGAATTTTCTTTCCTTTTCTTATAATAATTTGTTATGAACATTTCTTGCCTAACAAAAGGTATGTACAATCTCCTGATCTACTTCTACTAACTCTTAGACTACTAGGGTTTATATTCCACAAACATGATATTGCAGGGAAAACAAGTAGCAAAATGTTAATGAAGACATTTTCCAATTTCAAGCCCAATAATGAAAGGAAATCATTAAAAATTGAACACCCAATTGCCTGCCGTTCACATAATAGAATTATACCCTAGTCTGTATCCTATGCAGAGAAACAAAACGAAAATGTAAAAGTAAAGAATGAACAGATTCTCACCTGCACTCAGTGCATGTCTATCTACATTGTTCTTTATGGAGCATTATTAACCTTTTAATGCCAACACTTGCTAAATGCAGCACTAATTAAGCCCATCATTCTTCAATTTCAGGTTACTAGATAAGTTTCCAAGATATGAGACAAGTGGTTAACTGTTGAACATTTCACCATGCTTCACCTTCTAAGCTTGCCTCCCATATTTTTCTTTTCATCTTGTATAATAGAAAGTTTTGCACTCTTGATGCATCAGCGCATGCCTCATATTAGCTACAGCCCACAAATTCTGATACTATTCTGTCTGGCTAATGAGCAACCCCACCAATATTTCATGACCTTTTAATGATAAAAAACATGACTGGTGCATCTATGAAAACATGGTGATAGGTCCACCCTTTTTCAATGGTATCCACAGAAGGATATAATTTCAAGATCAGTGCTCAGTTAACTCTACTTTTGATGCTGTCTATAGACGGGTTTGCACTTGGCATAGCATTCTGAAGTTGATGTCTACGTTTTGCAAGCTTTCTTGGGTTTGCACAAGTTTTTAAGGTGTCAGACATCGCTACAGCTTTCTGAATTATAGATTTTCTTCTTACAGGTGAACTATCTCCAACTTCAGTGTATGTGTTGGGCAACTTTTTCGAATGTGGCAAAGAGGCCATCATATCACAAAGTTTCTTTATCTTTTCATTCATTCCCTGTTTCTTTAGATTATCAATCATTTTCTGATATGTAAGGTATTGAGGTACAATCCCTCTCCGAATCATGTCTTCAAACTCTTGAATAGCCTCATCTAATCGATCCATTTTGCAAAGCAAATGTATAAGCATACTGCTTGTAGCCAAATCCAAATCACACCCCCTAGCCCTCATTTCTCTGATAACTCGCATTGCTAGATCCAGCTTTTCTTCTTCACATAGCATCTTTACCAATAGATGGTAAGTAAGCCGATCAGGTTCATATCCAGATTCAATCATCTTGGTATAAAGGTTTAAGCCTTCTTCAATCCTCCCAAACTTTGAAAAGTACCTAAAGAAGTAATTGTAAGTTGTGGGAGTTGGTGTAAAACCTCTATTGATCATCATCTTAAGAATCTTACTGGCCCCTAAGAGATCCCCAGCCTTGCAGAAACCCTTCACTAGTGAATTGTAAGTAGAAATAGTGGGACCAGATTCCAATACTGTTAAGCGTTCCATCATTCCCAAGGCCTCCTTGAACCTCCCCGCTTCTCCTAATGCATCAATAATTGGATTATAGACAATAGCATTTGGCTGAATTCCTTCCTTGCTCATGTCACTAATCAGCTCCATTGCAATCTCTACTCTGCGCATACGGCAATATCCTTCAACAAGGGTACCATAAGTTACAATACTAGGCGTAATGTTTTCCTTTCTCATCTCCACCCAAAGCCCTTCAGCCTTCTTCAGCTTTCTAGACCGGAACCATCCATTCAACAGAATATTATAAATTCTTGTAGATGGAACCCAACTGGGGTCTCGACCCTTTTGCCTCTCAAAATATTCAGAAGCTACCCTAACATGCCCTTCTTTGCACAAAGAATCTAACAGGATCTCAAACAATGTGTTTGCTGAATCCAAGGAGCGAATAAAATCAAGAGTTGATGAGAACTCAAATGTTCTAATGGCTGCTGAGTTCATACCTGAGAAGCCAAAATTATTTCAGAGAAGAGAACAGTAAAAATGAGTTAAAAATGAACTCTGACAAACTGCTTATAGGTATCATCTAATATCATATGTTTAAAACAACAGCCAAATTCACATCACTATATGAGGTCAGGAGTGTAACATTGGGAACTATAGCAATAAAAATTTTCCCTAAGAGACTTCATGTCCTAGAAGGCTAAATGAGTTTGACAGTTTGTATGTGATAGATGTGTTGTCAATATGTAAATCTTATTTAAAAAGTGTCTCATACCACTATTCAGCAGAGAAATTTATTGATAAGTGAAAAAAATCCTAAAGGCTTAAGCTTATCTAGTAGGAATAAGCTATGTAGCATGGATAACAAGAAGACACATGATTTGGGAAAATAGGGGACAAAAGATGTGAGGTTCACAATTTTAATTATTATTTATTATTATAAGTTATAACTAACGTAAATTAGAAATCAATGCATAGATAATAGATGTATTTCAAAAAAAAAAAATCAATATTTAATTATCAGGGTAACTTCATAAAGCTTCACAGATATGTTTCAGAACCCTGATTTCAGATCTTCTGTCATGAAAACAAAAATAAAAAATAAAGAAGTTCTTGTGTTAATTGAAATATGCTTCAATTGTCAATTGCCAATAGAGTCCTTTAGGTTTTATTCAATACTTTGATATCTATCCCAAATTCTCTTGAATCTTAAAATTGTTTTCCTGCACCAATTATTGGCATGTCTAACAATGAATTAAAATAATAATAATAATAATAATAATAATAATAATAATAATATAATAATAATAATAATAATAATAATAATAAGATATATATTCATGATTGATTGATTTGTGTCCAGGCTTTGGACATTCCATGCCTTACACAGGAATCAGTATATTACATGTATACATGGCCTTAAATTTGGTATCCTGTTGTCTAGTCTAGGGAATAAATAGCAAAATCCAGAAGTTCACTAAGAATGCAGTGGGGCAAATTTGAGAAGAGCCTAAACAGCAATTAGTCAATACTAATCAGGTGAGCAATTGTTGCTTTATTTAACAGAACATCAGTTTAGCATATTGTGCTCTGCAGTCCAGCTCAATAAACAAACTAAACAGAAATGAAAATTTGCATAATGCTAAAAGTGCAATTCAACTTAACTGAAATGTTAAACAAGTCTTGAATACTAAGTTTTAAGACTTCATACTGAATTACTGATAGTCTGATACTAAAACTCAAATCCTGGTGTCATTATCATACAGTCCAGATCTAGTTTGCTATGCCTTATATGGCACTTACCTATTCAAATTTCAGTCACAATTATAAATTCAGCATTGAAAATGTGGGGACTAAAGAGACCAGAAACTTTATCTTTGTCAAGATGATACATGTTGGGAGGTGTGATCATTTAGGAAGTCTTATTTTATTAAAATTATATTACATAGTTTAGATATTAAGAAACTACTAAATCATTATTTAGCTTATTACTTAGTTTAATACTTTAATTATTTGAAAGCTACTATATAGTTATTTGGTTTATTATTCTTAGTCTTTGAACTAGTTTAGACAATTTAGTTATTTGTAAACTACCAAGTAACTAATCATTCTTAGTTTAGGAATCCTTGTAATCAGCACTGTAAAAGGGACCATTAATTGGAAGAATGGGGAAGCATAAATTTAATCCCAAAGGAACTAATGGAGTATTGGGTCTCAAGCAAACCCAGCGTTTTCTTTTCCTTTTCATTCTTTTCTTGTGTTTTCTTACCCGTGACGAAGAACCTATAACATTAGTTCCGTTGCCAACATGATGGGCGTCACTTGGTCCAAGTTTGAAGCTCTCAAAGAATCAACAAATGAGTTGAAACAATTATGGAATAGTTATACATACGTCATTTTGGAGAATTGGGTGAAGATGCCAGTGAACTAAAGCAATGTATTACTAAATTCCTCAATTCCTCAATAATGACCAAGGCCAAACACCAAAAATTGAGACGCCCATTTCCTCCGGAATTCAGCAAACGGGGTGATGTTGATCACCCACATGTGGAGATAGCACCATGCAAGCCAATGTTTCAGCCAATCAGTCTCATGCTAGTGATAATTCAACACAAAGAGCTTTGAATTTATAGAAACTGAGGGTATGTCCTTTCCAAAAGCTATTCACACTTTACAGCCCCATATCATTTCATGATTGTGTCGTATGGTATTGGTTTATCTCCATCAGGGATCTACCTCATCCTTTGACCTTGTGGTTCCAACTCATTCATTCAAAGGATGGCCAAGATTGGAGTCCTCCTCATCAATTGATCTTTTGAATGCAAATTGTGGCTTTACAATTTGTAGTTCCTTCGGAAATGCCACTTGATCGTGGGAAATGGGTGTAATGATACATGCTGGGAGGTGTGAGTATTTGGGAAAGTCTTATTTTATTAAAATTACATTACATAATTTAGATTTTAAGAAACTACTAAATAGATATTGAGCTTATTACTTAGTTTAGTTATTTGGAAGCTACTAAATAGTTATTTGGTTTATTATTCTTAGTATTCAAGTTAGTTTAGGCAATTTAGTTATTTGGAATTTGGAAACAACCTTATAACCAACCTTTAAAAAAAAAAAAAAAAAAAAAAAAAAGAGACTCTTGTTTGGAAGAATGGGGAAGTAGAAATTCAATCCCAAAAGGGGTCCAAGAGTGTTTTGGGTCTCAAGCAAACCCAATGCTTTATTCATTTCCTTTTCCAAATTCCAACTACTTTTCTCTATTCTTTTCTTTTATGTTTTCTTGCCCGACAACAGAACCAATGTTATATGCTCACGCCAAGGGCAAAAAAACACAAAAGAATAGAAAAAAGAAAAGAAAACGCTGGGTTTGCTTGAGACCCAAACTCCTTTAGTCTCTTCTTTGGGATTAAATTTCTGCTACCCCATTCTTCCAAATAATAGTCCCTTTTATAAGACTACGTACAAGGATTCCTAAACTAAAAATGATTAATTATTTGGTAGTTTCCAAATAACTAAATTGCCTTAAACCAAATAACTATTTAGTAACTTCCAAAAATACTAAACTAAGTAATAAGCTAAATAATTATTCAATAATTTCTTAATATATAAACTATGTAATATAATTTTAATAAAATAAGGCTTCCTAAATAAGCACAACTCCCAACATGTATCACAAGATTGAAGTTTATAAACCCATTTTATAGATGCGGGACTCTTAACAAACAAAATTTAATTCTTATAGAGTATATATAGACTAGTCACCTATTCTTTGCCCTTTCTAAATATTTATCCTGGCATTTATCCCTTTCTTACTATTTATATTGCTTTTAAAAGACAGGTGAACTAACAGAACTATAGGCATAGATAGGGGTGAGCATTGTGGCTTCCATTTAGTAGTAAGGCCAAACTGAATGAAAATTGAATATTTCATTTTGATTTCAAGGCCAACTGAAACCGAAAATGAAATCCATAAATCCATAAATTAAAAGAAAATTCAAATTCCCAGAAATTTTAAATCTCAATAGAATACCCATAAGAATTACTCCGTATTAAAAATAAATAAATACTCCATAACTCAAAAATTCAAAATTACAATAACATAAATCATGTAACCCCATTAATAAGAATCAATGCTAAGAAATCAACAAATTTCAACATATATTCAAATCAAGGCACATAAACTTCAATACAAGATAAAGAAAAAAAATTAGAGAACAATAATATCTTTTTAACATGTAGTTTAGGGTTTTGTTTAAATTTATATATTTTGATTTTGGTTAGAGTTGATAACCAAAAAATTTTATTTCATCTAGGATTGGCTCAGTTTGAGTTGGCTTTCCATCTGATATCCACCCTTAGCCCCTTAGCATAAAGCATCCTATTGTAGTTAACAAATACCTTTGTCAAGATAATACTTTCAGTATTTCAGGTCAATGGGCAGAACCAGTAGCTTTGTCAAGATAATCAGTTCTCACAAATTGCTTCATACATAAGGCCAGTGCATATTAGGATTCAAGATACTATACAGAGTTAAATAAATAATAGAACCTAATGTTCCAAATTTCGACCATGCAGCAAAAGAAGATGATAAATTAATGCAATTGTTATACCATGGAACAGGGTTCATATTGCATTGTGAACTCTAGTCTACAAATTATGTCTCTAGAGTTAACACATTCTGTACATGTAGTTAACAATTTCTATACCTGTAAACAAATTGAAGGCACATAACAAAGTAATTACTGACATATCAAGCACATAACAAAGTAATTACGAACAAATGATATGTGTTATCTACGGGTACAAAATATGTTAATTCCAGACACAAAATATTGGTTAACATGTAATGTGTTTATGTGCCCGTAGTTATTAATTATCATGTGCCTTCAATTTGTTACGATACATACTCGGTTAATTGCAAGTACACAATGTGTAACTGCAGGTACAAAATCTAAAGGTTGCTTTTTGGACCATATCCAAAATGCAAGGTAGACATCCAATGGTATAACTTGCCAAATTAATGGAATTTCATCAAAAAAAATGAAGTAAGGAGAATTTGTAGCAACCTGCACGAGCATACCGTCTGAGCATAATTGTGAATGTGTCTAAATTGGGCCTTGCATCAATGGAACTAATCCGATCACGAATCAAAGACCAAGCAGTATCGAAGTCCCTGCCTTTTCCAAGTGCATTGATCATCGCATTAAAGACGGGCACGGAGAAATTGTACCAGGGCTGCTTCTCCGCCCAGAGAAAGAGGGCCAAAAGGGGTTTGTGAGAAGAATCGAAGTGGTTGAAAATAAGAAGGAAAAGCGCATCATCAAGCTCGATTCCGACCCGGTCCAATGCCTGTTCGAGGGAGGGACCGGGAGAAAGGCTAGGGTCTCTCAGGAGGTCACAGATTGTGGTAAAACCGTTAGGGCTTTGGGGTTGGGGCGGTGGGGTGGAGTGGGGTGGGGGGCGAAGTTGGGGTGGCTGTAGTGGAGGCGCAAATGGCCATTTCATCAGGGGCTTTCCAGGGTTCAAGAGCCATGATTGGGTGGAGAGGAGTTTACAGGTGGCGCAGGCGGTGGGGGTTTGGAGGAGGAGAGATGGTAAGGAGAAAAGGCAACGGCGAATCCGATGTGACGCAAAGCCCTTCATTTCGGCTGAAAGGATGTGCGGCGTTGGGAGAGAATGGGGTTTTTCCCGCAGGCCGGAAAGAAGAGTGGAACTTTGAAAGACAAAAGAAGTGAACCGAAATAATAGATTGAGTTAATTGACGAAATGGTCACTTGATTATAGTAAAATTACTAATTTGATCTTTGATAATTTTTTTTGTTCAATTAAATTTTTGACTTTGAAAATGTTAACCTCTTCAGAGTATGGCTCGCCTTCCTTCGCTTCACGAGCACAGCTTATGTCGCTAGGCCACGCTCCATCGTCGTTCCCACTAAACTTAAACCCCCATGCTAAAGCATTTTTCAACAACCTCAACTCCATATCCACTTTAATATGAGATGATCGTATCTTGCCCTGTTGAGCCCCCACGACACCATGGTCGTCGACGTAGCATACGGAGCCCCATCGCAAATTGCAAACCCACCGAGTTTCCAGAACTCGACTCGGAACTCGGATTCGATGACTGGGTCAAAATGAAATTAAACTCAACTCCATTTTCTTCACAAAGCCCAGCTAACCGGATCAATGATACTGATACAGGAATGGACAAGCTAAAAGAAAATATTATAATAAGAGTAGGAAAAGAATGTTTGGGTCGGATTCGGATGACGATGGTAACCGCCGGGATGGTAGTGATTTTATGGAACTGAAGCAAGAAGTTGTGGAGCTACGTACGTTGCATAAGAAAGAGGAGGAGTTGCATTTCTATGATGCATTTGCATATCCTTGGGAGAAGACAGGCATTGTAAGAGAGTGAAATTTTATCAATGCCTTCTAATTTAACAAATTTCTAACGCCTGACCGAACGGAGGACCAAAATGGTTAACATTTTCAAAGTCGAAGACTTAATTGGGATAAAAAATTGTCGAGGACTTAATTGGAAAAAAAAAATTGTCGAGAACCAAATTAGTAATTTCGCTATAGTTAAGGGACTATTTCGGTAATTAACTCTAATAGATTCAAACATTTTGGCTTACTTGGTAGAGTTTATAACCTAGGGTCGGTTTGTAAACGTGCAAATGATTTCTGAAAATCATCAGATTTTCAGTGCTTGGAAGAGCCTAGAAAATCTCGAAGTCAACGGAAATCATTTTCTAGGTCAAAGGAAAGCAATGCTGTTTTGGAGAAAAATGACTTCCGTCAAAATTTGACGAAAGTCATTTTCCGGACAGTGAACCTGCGCGAAAACTTTGTCAGCTTCACTGGTTCTGTGCTCTCTGATTTTCACCTTTTTTAAAACATTTTTTAATTTTTTAATAAATAATATTATTTGATTTCAAAAAATAAATAAATAATATTATTATAAATATTTTTATATTTTAAATAAAATAATTAATTATATAAAATGTTTAATTATACAACTCTACCTCATTTTCTACAAAATGAACGAAACACGCAAAGACAGTTTTTTGCTATGCAGCCAAACACAAAGGAAAATGTTTTCTAAAAAATGACTCATTTTTCACAAAGTCATTTTCCTGCTTTGCAAATGGACCCTTATTTTAAATTACAAATAAGTTATAGCTCTCTTTGGTAAAATTAGGAGCTTAAAATAATAGTTTATATATATACTAGTTTTTCACGTGCATTGCGCGCGATTGGGATAATGCTCAATGTTATATTTTTATATAAGTACTTTAAAGTATATCAATGCAAGATTATATTGGAGTCATTCATGCATAGATAATCGAATGTTGAATTTGCTTATTTAAATAGATAATTCTACGTTTACGAATGCAATATAATTTAATGCAATCATGATTGATTATAATTGTCACTAAAATAATTTATGGTAATTTCTAAATACTTAGTCTAAAAATAATAGTCTAAATATGCTAGTCTAAAAATAATAGTGTAAATAAATACTACATTTGGTTTAAATTTCTCTAAGCTTTCTTAATTCTCTCGAGGGTAGCATTGTCATTCCCTTCATCTTCAGTACATATCCTCTTCTTTTGTATTGGTAGTGCGCCATGTTCAATTGTGTTAGTTGTGATAGCATAGAGGACAACATCATGCAATGAGATTATAGTGTAGGAAGATGTGGATTTGCCTTGTTGTGTATATGCCTGGGATCTTAGTTGTACAATGAACTCTTGATCTTGCAGGCGCTTGTTGATATTTGGTAGTGGTAGTTCTTTCCCCTACATGTTTCATTCGTTGTGAGATGTGTGTCATATATTCTCACGTGACAGAATTAAACAAAATATTAATATATTTGTAGAAGGTTCATGAATAGTACCTATTGTTCTAGTTCCATAACTTGTTTACTTGAATGTAACAACAATGACTCTGCAAGTAGTTCGAATACTGATGCCGCAATGTACCCAGTTTCATCAACAATGTCCACATCCATTTTGCACCTGTGCATTTTGTAGTTCATATTTTTAGAATTAGTATGAATGAGTGTAATACTTAATCTTTTGTGTGTGCGTGTGTGTATTTTTTGTTAAATTGGTTTGTTGAATTGATACTATCCTTGGAGTACCTACCGCTCTCTTTTCACCACAATGCATACATTTAAATAGCTAGTCACTTTGTGCATAAACCTTTTTTAAACAATGGCTACATCCTATATACCAAGTGTTTTTGTTGTTAAAGTTGATACTGATTTTGTCCTTAATCCAAGAAGGTTGAGTCTATAAAATGAAATTGATTGTTAATTTATATTAGTTTAAATATATTTAAAGAATGCTCAATAAGTATTTTTACTTACATGATTAATGAATGCTAGAACGGTCACTATTTTTTAAATTTATTCTTTTTCTGGATTTGCAAGTTTGATTGCAGCATTGTTGTAGTCTCGGCATCTTTTCAATGCATCAAGTGTATCACGATGTTCTTTCGCCCTACATAGTCATTTTTAATAATATGTTTTTCAATATAGCTACGTAAGATAATGATATATTTAGCATGTACATAAATTATTATGAGTATAGAAGTATACCATTCTTTTAGGTGTTATGCTCTAGGTACTTTTGGTTCAAGCAGTATTGTTAAATGAGTTCTTGTGCATAGAGAAATGCCTCGTTTTTTCAAGGAATGAAATAATATAAGATAAGGTATTTTAAAAATTTATATATTTTAAATCATCTTATAATGAAATATGATTTAACTTTGAAGTGAACCACTGTGATGTAATCCAAAGATATTACAGGGTAGTTTCCTGCTTCAATTTCTTGAGTTATTTGAATACCCTCTTTGTCAACAAATCCTCCCCAAGTAGTTAATATGATTGACTTCAACATGTTTTTTTTTTTCTTTTTTGCATTGCAGAAAATAAAGGCAATATAACTTATGGAACTATATCAATAATTTTTTTTTAAAATAAGATACTGTAGACACCTAATTCTAAATTAAAGAAATGAATATGTATTATTATATTTTTTATTGTAGGTACTAATTTATTTATATATAATTTAAGAGTATAAATAGAGTGGGGGACTTACTTTTCATCCACAAGAATGAAGTCATTGATTTTTTTATTTTAATTCGTTGTTGAGACAAATTCTTTTGGTAGCTTGTCAATGACAATTGCTACAATTGATGGCAATAGAGGATGGTGATAAATAATTTAGAATATATAGTTAGAATAGATATTGTTATTAGTAAAAATAAACTTACAAATTTCTCTAGAAGTTTTTAGACATTGATAAAATTCTTTGAATGGAGTATAAACTTGTTCAGTTGGAGCCAGTGTGGTGTCAACATTGTCAATTGCTTGGATTCTGGTCTTAGCATTTAGAATCCAGGTGTAGTTGTATTTATGCTCTACAACTTTGAAGTTAGGTCGCGCGGGTCTGACAACGACATTTGAAATACTGTACCATGAGTTTAAATTATACTTGGTGCCATTGGTATTGTTCACAAACAATGTTATCACATAATATACTTTAAATTCAAATTTATAAATTATAGAGTAAAGAGTAATGTGAATTCATAGATTAGGTAGGAATTTATAAATATTTGATTTTTTGAGTTTGGTATTGTTTGCAAAATAAATAAATAAAGATTAGGGTTTAATATATTAAATATACTAATGACAAAAGGCGACACAAAAGAAGAAAGAAGAAAGAAAAAAAAAACGCGACAGAGACGGGACTTAATCTCCAATTTCTCTTTTTCTGGAGGGCGAGGTGGAGAATAGTGGTGAGGCGGTGAAGAATGGCGGGAGGTCAATGGAAGCACATGTGGGGCTGGTTGATCGCCAGTGTGATGTGGTGGGGAGGCTCAACAGAGACGGGCTTGGGAAGGTTCTAGGTTAATGGAGGTTAGACATAACATTATAGAAACATATATACCTACCAAAATTTCCGTGCTGTAGAATAATTTAGGTTTCTCCGACTTTGATGTTGTGCTTCAGAATAATTTAGGTTTGTACCTCTAACTAGTGGGCAATGGCTTAATATACGGGTGTTTTGGGTAAACTAATGGTGTAGTTAGAATTGTACAAGGATTTGTGAATTATAATTCTATAAGGATTTGTGAGTTAAAATTCAATAAGGATTTGTGGGTTAGAATTCCATAAGGATTTGTTGTTTTTTTTTAAAAATGAGAGTTGTTGGTTTTTTAAATTATTGTCGAACTGTGAATTCTTTGTTCTTAAGGTAATGTGGTATTTACTATTTTTTGTTTGTACTATGAATTCTTTGTTCTTTTGGATGCTAATATTGTGTGTCCTTTGTTAATGCAGAATTTATGTGTGGTAGCTGCATATCGGTCAATCAGAGAGATTTTAGAAAAAAAAAGAAAAAAAGTAATTAGTCCCATTCGGTCACTTCTCATGATTTGGTGCATATTAACTTTTTGATTGAGTATTGGGTCAAATAGTACTTTGATATAGTTTCTTATTGTCCAGCTTTTATTTTCATAATATGATTTTAGGAGTATCAAAATTGAAGTTGTACTTGAAAAAAAAAATTGACTTTAAAATAGTGCACGTGACAAGCATGGGAGGTATAATTTTTGCCATTACTAACTGAACAAGAAGTGAATTGATGCACATGGCTTTGTTCCTTCTATCCTTTCCACTTTATTTTGAATTTATATTTAGATGTAATAAGCAATAAAGTAAATTGATTGAT